CCCGCAGCCCTCACCCGCAGTAGAAGACGGCCTTCTGCCAGGAGCGCAGCTGGTCCACCTTCGCCGCCACCGTGTTGGCGAACTCGATGAATGGACAGCAGAAGGGCACCTCGCAGGAGCAGCAGGACGAAGGCATTCGTGCTGGAGGCAGGGAGGGAGCGTGGGCTGACCGCTGGACCCCGACACCGTCTCAGCACTCCCCGTCCCGTGCCCCTAACTGAACTGAATGCCCGAGGCGAGAATCTGGGTCTTCCCTTGATCCAGGCCGGGGACAACTCAGCCATAGCACAGCCTGTGTCCAGGCCGGGGACAGCTCGGCCATAGCACAGCCCGTGTCCAGCTGGGGACAGCTCAGCCATAGTGCAGCCCGTGTCCAGGCTGGGACAGCTCGGCCTTAGAGCAGCCCGTGTCCAGGCTGGGACAGCTCAGCCACAGCACAGCCCGTGTCCAGGCCGGGGACAGCTCAGCCACAGCACAGCCCGTGTCCAGGCCGGGGACAGCTCAGCCACAGCACAGCCCGTGTCCAGGCTGGGACAGATCAGCCATAGCACAGCCCGTGTCCAGGCTGGGACAGCTCAGCCATAGCACAACCCATGTCCAGGCTGGGACAGCTCAGCCATAGCACAGCCCGTGTCCAAGCTGGGACAACTCAGCCATAGCACAGCCCGTGTCCAGGCTGGGACAGCTCAGCCATAGCACAGCCCGTGTCCAAGCTGGGACAGCTCAGCCATAGCACAGCCCGTGTCCAGGCCGGGGACAGCTCAGCCATAGCACAGCCCATGTCCAAGCTGGGACAGATCAGCCACAGCACAGCCCGTGTCCAGGCTGGGACAGATCAGCCATAGCACAGCCCGTGTCCAGGCCGGGGACAGCTCGGCCATAGCACAGCCCATGTCCAGGCTGGGACAGCTCGGCCATAGCGCAGCCTGTGTCCAGGCTGGGACAGATCAGCCATGGGGGCTGAGGGTGCACGCTCAGTCTTCGTGTTCTCTGTGGCTGGGTCAGGCACAGACCCTGGACCCTTCCATTCACCTCCAGGCCTGAGGAAAGTCCCTGGGTCCCCTCATTTGGCAGAAACACAGGCTCAGGGCACCCCAAAGCCCCCCACACCCCTAGAGCAGGAACTCTCTGCACAGCTCACACTGCTCTCACCCCCAACCTCCCACACGGCCAGGCCTCCCAGCGTGGCCCTCCACAGCGCTCGGCCAACTCTTCTCTTCCAAGGGTCCAGGGCCTCTCCCCTGTCGGGCCTGACCCGTTGGGCCCCGTCCCCCTGCCTCGGCCAGCACAGCTCCAGGCTCCAGCATCACAACCCAGGCCTCCCCACTGCCTGAGCCCCCTGAGGGCGGGACATCTGCCCATCTCTGTGCTCCTCCCCCACCGCCCCACGTGGGCAGGGGCCGTGCTGGGTGCTCAGCCACTTCTCATTGTCTGGGGGTGTCAGATGCAGCCAGAGCTGCTCTGCCCAGTTCTCACCCCTCCCTTCCCTTCCCACGGGGCAGCTACCCTGGCAGGAGGTGGGCAAGGACTCATCGGGCGTTCTAATGCCTGACCCTCGCCCACTCTGATCTGCTCCATCTGCAGCCAGCACTGCCTGCCCACCTCGGAGCTGGACCGCCTGATCCCAGCACCTGTGAGACCCGTCAGAAACTTTCCTTTCCGCGTCGTCGTCGTGGGCTGGCCAGGACGGCCTGGGGGCTCCCAGGGCGAGGCCCATGGCCGTGGACTTGGTGCCCGCAGAGTCTGATGTTGTAGACACTACACCCAACAAAGGCCGGGGTGGGCGTTCCAGGCCCGGCCCTGACAGGGCTCAGGAAAACCGAGGAGGAGGAGGTGCGCACGGTGGCCCGAGCCCCGCAGGAAGGCGCGCTACTCACATCATCCACACGCCCGCCGCGATGTTCAGAGGGTGGATGGTGATGCAGCTGAACAGGCCCGAGATGGCGCAGGCTTGAAAGCAAGAGACACGGCAGGATTAGCAGCAGGGAAGGGACGGGTCCGCCACGAAGGCCACCAGGGAGATGGCGTGTGAACCCCTTCCGACCCCCCATTCCCAGGGGGCCCACGAGAAGTCCTCTGACTCAGGCAATGGCCTGGGTTTGGGCTGTGACAGGGCTGCCTCTGAGAACAGCAGGACAGGCAGGCCTGGGTCCCAGGCTCTGACCTACACACCAGCCAGGGCCGTGGTTGGGTGTGTTCTCCTCACCTCGCAGGCCTGTTTTCTCTCCTGCACACAGGCCAGTCCCATGTCCGGCCTGCCCACCCCGGCACAGCAAGGGGGTGCATCCTCTTCTACCCTTGAAAGGGGCTTCTCGGGTGCCCCAAATGTGGAGCGTTGCCCACCCCTCCCCACTGCACCCTACGGGGCAGGGTCTGCCACACTCGCCCCCCTCCTCTCTCCACAGCCCGCAGGCCCAGCTTCACCAAGAATGCCGGCAGCCTGCCAGGGACCCAGCCAGCGCCATAGCTGGTGAGGGCTGCTGAGCAGCCAGCAGCACCAGGTCATTAAAGTTGCATTGCGCCTGTGCACCTGAGCCCGGCGCGGCTGGAATTCCAGTTTTCCCGTGTAACCCTATGCAGGCAGCAGGCGGGGGAGGAGGACCAGGCAGTGAGCCCAGCTGCAATGGGGCTGCCCTCGTGTGCCCCCAAGACCCCTAAATAACAGACGTACTTCCTGCCCACCAAAAGCATGCCAGGTGCACTCAGGCCAGGTGCCCGAGGCCACGACGCCGAGCGCCCACAAGACAACACTGCTCTGTGCTCGTCAGCTATGTACCCCCATCCCCTACTCCCCAACCCCCATCTCACCTGCTGCAGTGGATGCTTCACCTTCAGCACCGACTCCACCCCCACTGTGCCACCAACAGCCAGCCTTGGGGAGGACCAGGTTTCAGCCCAGCCAGGAGCCCACCCCCCTCATCTGCCAGGGAAACAGCTCATCCAACTTGAGGGGATGGAACCTAAGGCCTGACCTCAAGCCCACCAGTCCCTTCTAGAGTCACAAACACGCTGGGCAGCAGGAAAGGGACCCGGGGACGCCTGTGACTTGGGGGAGGGCCGGGGCAGCGCAGTCCTAACCCTGCACCCGACTCCCCACCCCACCAGCTGGGAGGACTGTGGGACTGGAAGGGGGCGCTGGGAGTGTCCTTCTGGGAGATCTGACCAGGGCCTGCCCTGCCCGGACCCCAGCCTCTGTGCCAGGCTTCCGGCTCCTTCCTAAGACCTCCGCTGTGCCCTCTCCCACCCCCTCATCCAGGGCCGAGGGAACAGGAAGAAGAGCAGGCCATTCAAACAGACGTGTATCTGCCTTTGGAAGACCTGCCAGCTGGTCTTTATTTTACTTCTGGAGCTGACCGCCTTCCTGTGGATGCTCTCTTGGGGGCTTGTGCTAAACCCGCCGGACTGTCCCGGACACCCGAGGTCACGGGGGGTGCCCCGAGATCACCCCGAGGTCAGGGGGGTGTGCCCCGAAGTGAGGGGGGTGTGGCCGAGGTCAGGGTGGGTGCCCCGAGGTCAGGGGGGTGTGCCCCGAGGTCAGGGGGGGTGCCCCGAGGTCAGGGGGGTGTGCCCTGAGGTCGGAGAATGTGCCGGCCAGGAATGGGGGGCAGGTGGGGAGAGGAAGGATGGCCGGGCAGAACTGCCCGGAGAGGGGACGCACTGGCCGCCTCCCTCAGCTCACTACCCGCCCGTCCTCTCCACCGCCCCGCTCGCAAACAACCTTCGCCCAAAGGTGAAGGCGGCCGCGCCCCCACCCTCACCCAAGTCAACAGGTGGGGCCGCCTCGGGCCAGGCCAGCGGCGCTTCGCAAGCAGCCACAGGGCGGACTCGGAGACGGGGCGGCGCGCTGTCCCCACGAGCCGGGGTCGAACACTAACCTTACTCCCGCCGAGCTCAGGTTTACTAGGGAAAGGTCACCAGGCAAATCGTTGTAGGGTGGTCCGGGGGGGTAGATGTCCCTTTCCGTTCCGCTTGTGGTCACCTGTCCACCAGATGTTTTGGTATTAAACTGTTGCTTAAACCGGGCCACTTTCACTCGGATGGGCGATGGCTATAAAAAGGCCCGGGGATACTAGGCCAACAACAAATCACTGGCGGGGGGCCAAACTTCTCGATTCCCAAGTATTTTCCCTATACTCCTGAGGGCATTCCCTCGGAA